AACTTACGCTGGTTACCTTACATAACCCAGCCACAGAAGCCAAGTACTCAGATCCACCCTGGTATGTTAAACATGAGATCAGGGGTGTGAAGGAGAATTGTAGGTGCAGGATTTGCACATTTTACACTCCATTTACACTCTTGCTTTTCAATCCTGTTGGGCTCACTGAAGTTGCTGGAGTCTATTGGTGCAGAGAAGCCCTTGTTCATCTCCCATGGGTTATCTCAGGAGAGCAAAAGTGGCTAAGGTGGTATGTCAGACATTGCTGGGTTGTCTCTGCTGCACTGCTCTGTGTATACCAAAGAGGAAAGGGAGGTATTTCTGCCAGGTAAACCACACTAGCCACTTGACTGATGCCTTCATCCCAGACTGGCTGGCTGGGTTCAGCCATCTGAGACTGAGTTTATCGAGTCTCCCCAAGGCCTAGAGCAGCCACTCATCATGAGTTGTGGCTGTTGACCTCAGTGTGGCAATGCTACCCATAAAGATGAAGTCTGCAGAATTCTGGCTACAGCTTTCAGCTCCAAAGGAAATAATTCAGCTTAAGCACATGCAATTGCCAACCTCTCTTGTGTGCCCACCTGTCAAGCCATTTGTCACGTTGTTCAAACAGTAGCAGTAATGCATAGGGAACTTGCCAGGGTCAACGTTTTTCATGTTAGAGACTGTAGGGAGAGACAGAGAAAAATCAGTATCTCGATGCACAGGCTGTGTGGGAGAAAATGCTCCTGCATGGAGCAAAGTGGGGAGGCACTCACTGTTATAAATGGTGACTGACACTTTGTGGAAGGCAAACGAGCTGTAAGACGTGATGCTCAGCAAAGAGAAGAGTTTTTTGGTACCTGCAGAAACACATGCCCGTGCTATTAGCAGTTGGAACAAATTATGAGAACAGCATGTTTTGACCCTGCTCATTTAATTTCTAAAAGGCTCCTGAGGTGCTGATACTACACAGCTGCCTGAGACTCAGTCCTTTCTCATTTCCACTGAGGGAAGGATCATTTGTATTCTTTATCTTTTTTTTTTTTTTTTTAATTTCAAACCTACATTGGATTATAAACTGCATTCTAAAGGCATCCCATAAGTAATTATGTTATGTCTATATATAAACACACACTAATTTCTAAATGCTTTAGGCCAGACAGCTATCTGCATTATAAACGTGCAAGGGTAGCATGCTCCTAGAATCAATTGTGGAGGCAGACAGCATGCATTTATGGTTTCTCCTGCAAACACCATCAGCCCTCTC